TATATATATATATATATATATATATTAGCATGACAAACCTGATCCCCAGTTGTGTAATCTGGAGGCGGGCAGAAAACAACGCGAGGAAGAAGAGCCGCTCAAGGACGCTGACGCCTTTCCACTTCTCCAGCTGTTTATATAACCAAAGACAGCCGAGATAACAGAAGCTGCAGACACATGCACAAATATTCCAACTGGGTTGACTGCACCAGAGAAAATGCGAGGCCGCTGTCGGGTCCCGGCGGGGTGATTTTCTTCTTGCTGCTGACTGGTCGTGTCATTGTTCTATACTGGCATATTTTACACCAAAGCATCTACGCAGTTCAGAGGCCGCAAGAACGTTCAAATGCATCTGGATTAAAAGATAATAAGGGCATTTACGGAGGATTTTGCTCCTCAGAACAACAGAAACGGATGTAAAAAGCATCGAAAGAGATGTTGATACACAGTGTGTCATGAAACGGCTAACATAAACAGCATCCATACAACAACATGATAAAGAATACATCATACGACAGAGCAACGCCATTGGCTTTTCCGCCTTTGGTTTCGGCAGTTCGTTGCGGCAGCGAGAAGAAATCAGATACCTCTCGGTACCACAGTATAACCCCCAAAAAACGTTATTTCATCCAAACAACAGGAGCATTTATTGGCACTATTTAGAGTGAACAATCAAGTATAAATGGGGAAGAAGGTCCAGAATGATGCCTTACGTTGTCGCTGGCCGTTGAAGGCCTCCACCGCCTCCCGCACTTCCAAATGCGACTGTGGCCGACGCCCAGTACAAAACTCTAAAACAACGAAAAACACCACAATAGAGAAGAAGCCAAAACAAATAAAAATCCAGAGAGAGTGTCGAAGGCCAAAAAGACGCTAAACGAAAAGGCAAGATATACCGGCTCAAACAAACACCTAACAGGAGCAAGCTAAAAGAAGGCAGACACAAGATAACAAACAATAACCAATAAAGAAAAACCAGAAATATCAAAAGCACACATACTAAACCCTGAGTGAGTATCAGTAGAAGAACTGCTAACCCCCGGACGAGAGAAAGGTCTCTCGTCCGGGGTTTAGTATATGTTAGTATATGTGTATAGTTTACTGTTGAAGAAGGCGTGGTTTAACAACTCTTCTGCCGTTCCCCTGTAACACCATCAATACAGTTGGAAATGAGACAAAATAGTAATATCTCATAAAAACAAGAATGCAGAATAAACTGGACAAAAACAACTGCAAGGATGGTTGCTAGTGTGCATTTCTCCGGAGGAAATATACACAAAAGCGTAAACACAAAGTAGGAATATGCTTGCGTAGGTGCACACTTGGCTACGAAATTAATTTTGAGTATATACCTTTCTGCGGCGTTTTTTCGGAGGCACTTTTCAACGAAATAACAAAACGATTTCTCGCAGCCCTCGTTTAAATTGATACGGGGGGCGGCGCCGAAGGCGATGAGGTGCATCAGCTGCAGTAGAACGTAGAAGAAAAGCAAATTACACTGAGTCAGTGTTACAATAGAACGTCACGCATATTCAACGGAAGACACCAAAGGTGCGGCAAGGCGGCTGTAGACCGTTTATGAACGATAGCAACGATCAGACCGACAGCACGAGAAACAAACGGAACACCCATGGCAACAGCAACGCAAAGCAGCAGCAACAACAGCGAGAATAGCAACATGAACAAAAGCAGAACAACACAACGGCAGCAGCAGCGGACGCAGCTGCAGCAACGGCAGCACAGAACAAAAGGAGCAGCAGCAGAAAGACGTAACTGCAGTGCAGCAACCAGCAACAACTCTACGAGGGGATCGAGCGGATTTGTTGGGCTATCTGTATGCAAGGTGTTTAAGATTTTCAATGTCTGTGCTTCATGCCGTCAACGATTACAGGCATTGGCTTTGTCTAAGAACACTGCTTGCATTAACTTAGACATGCAAGCGTTGAAGGCAGCACCTTTTCTAATTTGAGTCTGCTAGGCCAAGGCAAGCGTCCCATCGCGAGTTCGAAGGCTGTGATGCCTAACGACCAGATATCGACTGGCGTGCCGTATGCTTTTGTTTCTTCTCTTCTAGCCATTTGCTCTATGCGTTCTGCTCCTCTGTCGGAACCATTTCCTCCCTCTCTACTTTCAGCTCCTGCTGCTCCTGCGGCTGCTCCTCCTGTTGCACATTCTGCTGCTGCTGGTACATGTGGTTTCAAACCCGATTTCCAGAGACGGCGGAAATAGGTAACTGCCACTTCGGGAGCCATCCATTGAGGGGTTCCTGCGAACTCGTCGTCTTTGTCTGCATGCCAGAGACACTCAGGAAGGGCATTTTTGCCTGCTATGCTTCGTACACAAATCAAAACTGGCACATGCACTAATTCTACAGCAGATGAACAGATTCTACCCTAAAACAGCATCAACACTAATCCAAGGCCGTCAGAAGGGAGCCACAAAGAGTGTGTACATCTGCTTCCCTTTCTCTGCCATCTGTATATTGTGTCAGTATTCAGACGGAAACAATAAAAAAGACAAGACACTTTAAGTACATCCGAGGGCTGCAAGTGAGATAAAGCACGAAGTAGAGGCTCTCACCGCTCATGATAGAAATTCCAAAGTCAATTAATTTGGCCCTTCCTGATTCGGTGAGGAGGATGTTTGCTGCCTTTACATCGCGGTGTATGCAAACCTCTTTCTCTACTTTCCCGTCTGCCCCCACCTTACGCTCATGCAAATACGCCAAAGCCGCCACCACATCCCTGAAGGCACACCCAAACACAACCAGATGGTATAATATGCGTGCGTGTTTGCACCCATGCAAGGAAGGACTGATGAAGGAATAACAAGAGAAGAGACATGGGATAAAGGGTGGCACATGGGCCAGGAGAGGAAAAACGAACAAAAGGAATCGGCTGTATAAATGTATACTCAGCAGCATCAGCAGCAATGTCAGCAAGATCGGTGAGCGCGGCAGCCACAACAACCCCAGTAACACTGGCAGCAACATCAGCAGGCTCAGCAGCAGCAGCAGCAGGCATACTTGAGCACATTTGCAATGATATGCTCAGGAAGAGGTCCGGCAGATTTGTAGAGGTCTCTGAGGGAGCCTCCAGGCAGGAATTCCGTAACGAAAACAACATACGAGGGAGGCCACTGAAATGCCTCATAAAACTTGACGACATTCTCGTGCTCAAGTTGCGACAAAGCCTTCGCCTCAGCCAGCACACGCTTTAAATATCGAACCCTCCCGCTGCGGTCTGTGCACTGCGCTTGCAGCGCTCCCTCTATGTCTATTATCTTCAAAGCCACCTGGTCCTCTTCCACTTCTTCCATCTCCACACTCGTACCCTCATCAGCCCCACCGGAAGGGCTCCCCTCAGAAGCTGCAGATGCGCCAGAAGACACACCAGCTGTAGATACACCCGAAGCGCTCTCTGGCTTGGAAGTCTTTGTAAATCGCTTCGCCCTAAATACCGCGCCGTGGGCCCCGCGCCCCACGACCTCCTCTATGGAGTAAAAACAACTCGCTTGCGCAGCCGCCTCTGATCTGCCCTCCCTTAACCTTGCTATTGCTGTTGCTGACCCAACTCCACTTGCTGATTCTCCCGTTGCTATTTCTCGAGGAGTTGCATCCAAGGGAAGGAGATCGTTGATTGCCGCCTCGCTAGCCACATGTCGGGAGGTGTGTCGCCGGCCGTCATTTGCAGGTAATGAAGCATCTCTACCAGCATCCACAGCAGCATCCGCATCACTGTCAGCTGCTGCCGCAGCTCCTGTGGGTGCAGAGTGTGTGCGCGTGATATCCATCGGCTCTTCCGGTTCACCTTCAGAACCCGCTCCTCTGTTACTGATGCTTTTCCTACTGCTGTTGGTTTGTTTGCAAACGTTTTGCAGCAGAAGCAGAGGGTCTGTGCCCTCTGTGTCCTCCTGCAGTCTGCCAAATCCATTGTGGAGTTCACAGCCAGGTGGAAAGCTGCTAACGATCTTTGCTAAACATTTTTCAACCCCTTGAACAAACGCCTCTACCCCCTTTCCCCCTAGCCGTTCTTCAGGGGGTTTACTAAGGGCTTGAGGGTAGCAAAGGCCCACACCCAAGTCCGTCTGGTTCTCTCGGCTCCCTGCTGCTGCTGCTGCGGCGGCAGCGGCTGTGCCTGCTTCCATCTCTGAACGAGAACTCCCCTCTCCCCCACTCACGCTGCCTCCTGGAAGCCGCAAGGACGCTGCACTGTACACGCTGCGTTGGCTGCTGCTTAAAGGTAAAGACGCAGCACCGCTCAAAAGCAAAGGTTCCTCTGGCCGCACCATCAGAGGCCTCGGAGAAGCTCCTGGGGGGGCCCTCTGTCGGAGACTCCCGAGGGAGCCTCTCAGACAGCTTCGTACAGAAATGACGTGCTCATAGTTGAGGGAAGGGGAGGAGGAGCTGAGGCGCCGCTCAGAGGAAATGTGGGTGTTGGTCTTCTGGCCAGCTGCAAAACCGCCTGGGGGGGCAGAAAGCAGCAGCTGCTGCTGTGAGCCAGAAGGTGGCCTCGAGCCTTGAAGCCCACCTCTGCTGCTCTCTCGAGATGGAGCAGCACTGCTGCTCAGCGAGGACGCAGCAGCAGCAGCAGCAGAAGCCACTGGCTGCTGGCCACTGCTGCGTGCAGCTTTAGCAGCCGCTCCACTGGTAGCCAGAGGAACCCCTCTGCTGAAGAGCGCCGGACATGAGGCGCGCCGGTGCAGAGTAGAAGGCACCGCATGTGTTGTTGCAGCATCTTCAACCACCGCAGGCAGAGACAGCTGAAAGTCGTAGCGGAAATTCTCCTGACAAAATGATCTCGCAGAGTCCGGGGCTTTGGCTTCACCTCCTGAAGCCGCAGGAGTAGCTGCAGCAGGAACCGCTGCATCAGCGGCTCCTGCAACGTCGACGACGAAGGCAGGGACTGCTGCAGCACTCGCACCATCAAGAGCAGCTCCTCCTGCTGTAGCAGACAGAACACCTGTCACAGCAGCAGCATAGTTAGCAGCAGGGTCAGACGCTGCTACTTTTGTAGCTGCTGCTGCTGCCTCTGGAACAGTTGCTGAGGTTGGAACAGAAACAGCTGCCTCTGCCGGAGCAGAAACAGCTCTTGCAGGAGAAGAAGGCTCATCGGCGGCAGTAGGGGAGGAAGTGAAAACATTGAATGGCAGCAGCCTCCCTCTTAAACGCAATGGCGGCTTCTGCTGCAATTGCTGTTGGGAAAAAGCAGACGGCGGCCCTGGAGCGCTAGCCTGCCGCCTCTTGCTCGTTGATCCCCCTTCAGTGCGACTTGCTTCGCTGTGCTGTACGTACACAGCAGGTTCAGCTGACGAGCTGCGAGTCCCCTTTGAATGGGCTGCGGAGTTGCCATTGCTTTGGCGACTTGTCGAAGAGCCACGGAGAAACGCAGAAAAGGATAGCTGCCTTAATTTACTTGGCAAGGAAATGACAGGAAGTCTGCTGCGCCTGCAGCGGTAAGAGGTAGAGCCCGAAGAGCACCCATGAGGTGCAGACTGGGCCCTAGCTGTTGCCCCACTAGGTGCTGTCGCTACTGCTCCAACCGTTGGAGGAGTCGAGACGGCACCGCTGCACGGTACTAAACTGGACCCTTGGCAGCCGGAGGCGTGTTCGCTGTGCATGGAGCAGTCCACAGGTAATGAGTGATGCCTGTTTGAGGCCCCATTTGCTTCATAAGAATTGAGAGAAGAGGTATCTCTACGGTTCGGCTCTTCCTTTTGGCCCCCGCGGGAACGCCGAAGAGAGCGCCAGAGGGGGGTCCCAACTTGCGAAATGAAGGCGCTGCGAAATGCATGCGGCTGCGACACGTTGGGTGCACTGAAACTTCTACTGCTCCCCCTGAGTTGGTGGGGTCGCCCGGCAGCGTCGGCAGCGGGGGAGGTGGGGCCTTCAGTGCCGCTGGCTGACCGTTGAGGCTCTGGGGTGCAGGTGTCCATTTCTCTGTCTGAACGCCTTTACGCACCCACAGCTAAAGGCGAGGGGGGAACTGAAGAAGCCCCAGGCATCAGGACAGGAAGGGAAAGCCAGCTTAAACCGACGGCTCTTGCAAGCAGCAAACAGCATGTTCACGTGAGCTGCACATGCAAGGCGAAAGATTGCTGAAGCCGAAGTGCCGAATCCTGCATAAACACGTGAGACGAAGATGTGAGAAAAACTGTGAAAGACGGAAACGGAGTGCACCGCCCTCAAGAAGGTACACCGCGGCTGGTTCGTTCAGCTTTCACTTCCGTATATCTTTGCACGCAGCAACATCTAGAATTTGTTTGGGGTGAAGCAGCATGAGTTTTCCTTAAATATTCCCTCTGAACGACTTCAACACAATATTTACAGATAAACAGCCTCCGTGTTCACTGCATGTGCTCTCAGAAACGAGGCGCCTCGTGGGCCGCTGGCGACAGCCCGGCGGTCACTCCTACCGGTTCAGTCGAAACTTGATGTTAAATATCTTTTGAAAAATACAATTCCATTTGGTTTTCTTCAACTTCCTCTGAAGTTAGACCAAGAAGGTCGAAGCGGCTTGCAGCCAGGGGGAGAAGATATAACCAACAGCATACCACCGATGCGGGCGAGGATCTGTAGCGCCCAGTGTGGTCGACTGCAGATGTCCTTCAAGCAGATCTTGTTTCGTTCCGCTTTTCTGAGGATTGACTTATGCGAATATCTGGCTAGAGAGCTAAAGAAGGCATCGCACACCTCGCTACAATGTCGGTTTCCGGAGCATAAAGCAAAGAATTCATTAACCAGAAGCCGCACTGTTCTAGCGACATCTTCCTTCCTGCAGAGCATTTCAGTATAATTCTCTCAACCAACAGGCACTGGAGAGTTTTCTGGAAAATGTCTTCAGCGCCGCCCCGGCGGATCAGAGATAGCGCTGCTACCTTATATTATCCGAGGACACTTCTGCGCTGCAGTGGAGCCAAAATACTCACGATGAGAGTTCCGTAAATGCAACAACTGGCCTCCCTCCCCTTTACCCGGGAGTCCTGAGCCAAGCATCTCAAGCACCTGGAGCTGCGGGAGAAGAGCTGGCCTGCCTTGCGTCCTTGCAGCCCAAGGCGCACATCTGCCCAGCTTGTGCGCAAGCGAGCGCCCTTCACTCTTTATACAGAGAGTGTAGAGAAGTGTTGAGAGCTTCATCTTGAGTACCGTCTGTGTTCTAGAGCTGACTAAGAATTCGTGTGCCCACTTTAGACAGACTTTCCAACATCGGGCAGGCTATTCGACAGCAGACTGTTACCGCTAACGATAACAGAAGTGCCTGTGAAGTACCTTCTGAACACTAAGCAACTACAACTGTGCTCCCACAGCAATCACTGCAATTACTACGCTTTCTCAATCTGAAATACTCTCCTAGAAAGGGCAGCGAAAGACACCTGCGTCAGTTGGCTGCATAGAAACGTCGGACTGCACAGTTGTGCTGCTATTTCGTGCTTTTGTCTCGTTTTATCCGACCATATATATTCAAATAAGCCCCCACTGGAAGCACAACTGCAGCAGCATAGGGGAAGAAAAACGACTAAAAGGCGGGCTCATCACCACCATATCGCAGCGAACGCACAGGGTTCGTTTACACAAAAGCTCATCAGTTTAGTCTGCAGCAAAGCGCTTCTCCTTTCTGTTAAAACAAAATGTAATCCTCCCCGAACTCAGGAGGCCGTTAGTGGGCTTCGTACTGCCACCATCCCTACTTTTGCTGTAAGGTGCCGCTTCTGTAAATAAGAAACTGCTGCTGTTAAAACGCGGCTACTGCTGTTAAAAAGGAGTGGCTGCCGTCTAAGAGGTTTCGGCTGCGCCTGAGCCTGCTGCAGTGGGGGATGTGGCTGGGGGTTCTGCTGCATTTCTCGATACTTCGATTTTGATTACTCGTGTTAAAACTCCAGGGGAGAAGTCTACAAGTTTTTCACACAGCTCCGCTGCTTCAGGTGAAGAGGTCTCACTGGTAGCAAAGATGAGGGCTTCAATCAAGAGCCTCTCATGCAGCTTTCGTGACTTCCCCTCGTCTGTATCCCGCGACGCTCGAGATCCCTCTGCAGAATCCCGCACGAAGCTGCTGCGCTGCCGCAGCAACTGTTGCTGCTGCTGCTGTTGTTGACACCTCCGTTGCTGCTCTCGGATAAGCTCCTGCACGCGAGACGGCCGTCTTAAAAGCTCCTGCAAACATCAAAGCAGCACAAGAAATCCAACTACGCATGGGGGTGTTTACACTCGAGCTGACAACACACGAACAGTGTCCTTCCCCAATGTGCTGCTTTTCTCCTGCTAAATAATAATTCAAAATAATTCCAGTCCACAGCACAACTCTTGATAGGAAAACAAGACAATTTCCATGCAACAAAGGGAGAAGTCAATCGGACCTCTCCACCAGCCGCTTGCTCATCAGGCCTCTTGTCAGTCCCATCATCATCATCAGCACCAGCAATCAGATCCGCCGAGGGGCTGCTCTCTTCTGTACCTCCTGCAGGCTTCTGCGCCTCCGCTTGTTCCCCCAAAGGCTCCAGAATGGCCTCAGACAGTGCTGCCACGACCGGCTTGAGGTCTTCTGCTGTTGCATTCGATACTCCTCGCAGCAGGCACACCGCCAGCCCTCGTGCCACGCTCTTCTCGCCTGCAGCACAGTAGATGCGAAACAAGAATATACTATCAAACAGGCCAACACACCAATCCAACAATAATAAAATTTCGTAGAATGGAAAGACTGAGAAGATCCTGCAGGAGAGACACGATGGAGGAATGCACTTCGACATTGTGCCCCCGCGAAATGTTCTACCCCGATATTTGATGCCTTGTTCAATGTAACACATGATCACTCTAGATGAAGTGCTCCACCTATTCCTTCCGATTTTTAAACACTTGAGTCTGCGGCAAAATAATTTACGTACCTGATTTCTTGAGCAAAAGTGGCAAGAGAGATTCAGGGTCCCTCTCAATGATACGAACGAGACAGTTGCCGCCTTCTTGTGCGGCAGGGCTGAAAGACAGAGCGAGAAATGCCCTTAGCAGCTGCTTCCCTTCTTCATTCTGCAGCAGAAGCTGAGTTATTCTGCTGCCGTGACGTTCTAGCAGGAGCTGGCAAATACGCTGGGAAGATGTGAGTTTCTCACGACCTGTGTTGCTGTTGCTGCTGCTCTCTGCGAGAGAAGACGGGGTCCGCTGAGCCCTAATCGGACTGCGGGACTCCGTCTGAATGCCTTCTTCCTCAGAGCCACTCATTTCGGCGCAGGATAGGGACAATAAGACAATAAGCTCAGTAGCTCCGCAAACCGACTCCGGCCGAAGTCAAAAATAAAGCAACAGCGGTTTAAAAATGACACCACACGAAGAACGCCAAAGACTAGTTCCCTTCCCCTCCCCAAAAGAATGTCCGCAAAAATTCTACGACGAATATCCGCGACTCACGCAGCTACAGGCAAAAAGAAAATAACCACTCCCTCTTGTGTACACACCCCATCAAAGTGTACGCCTTTGAGTGTGCCACCTCAAGCAAAGGAGAGAGGGGGTAAACTGTATTTTGTCGATTTGGTTAATTTACTAATGCTACAGACGGTTTTGTCGGGGTTTACACGTGCGTCCTTTCAACGACCTGCGGTGTATTGGCAGTCGGTAAACGACGAACGCTCACTTTCCAGCCCCAACTGTGGTCGGCCGCGAGCATTCTGACGCCCCTTATGTCATTTGAAACAACTTCGCCTTAATCCTTTCATTTTGTTTTTAAATTAAATGCTTAGAGGGACAAAAGTTTGTAATTGGCACTACACATGATTCGCCGATGCTTTGAACACGCGGACACGAGGGCACATAGCACACCGGCCGGCCGTTTTCTTCTTAGGTCCAGCGGTTGCTGCGGGGTTCACCTGCTCTTTTTCGTTGTTAATTCAATACAGGTTGTATGGATGATCATTCACAGGTTATTCAGTTGATCATCTTAAAGAGGTTCCTTTTGTTCCTGCTCAAAACACTTCATCTGCATTCGACTTTAAAAGAAACACCCCTGCCTCACCCCTGGCCATTGGTGGGGTAAACGGGCTGTTCCGGGATTCGAACCCGGGACCTCTCGCACCCGAAGCGAGAATCATACCCCTAGACTAAACAGCCTGACCACAACACCTCTTGACTCTTTAAATATGGGTCATAGTTCGACCGCTGTTTGTGCTTTGTCCTCGAGTGTTTGTGGCGTGTGTGTGCATGCCTTTGACAGTGTATATCTGCATTTCCGCCCTCGTATGCTTTTGGATTCGTTTATATCTATGTTCTTTACCTTGGATTGCTTGTATTTGAGGTTCCTGTCTTTGTGTACTCCTTTGGCTGGGTGTGTTTTTGCCGGGGCGTATGTCTGTTTATTAGCCTGTTTGTCCTTCATCTCTTACGCTAATGATGCCTAAGGTATGTGGTCCCCACCATGATGTGATTCTTGTTTGTGTTTAATTCTTCTCATCTCTTCCATACTCGATTCCTTGCACTAGATTCTTCAAATCAAAGATGACTTTGTAGGAGCATCAACAATGTGTTTCTGTCACTGGGGAGTACACGACAAGAACGCCAGCATACATGGGAGTCTCATTTCATACACATTTTTTCCTTAGAAAGACAAGACTGTTCTTCTGTTAATTGCAAGAGGGGCTTTAAAAAGCCATCGAAGAGGTTTACCTTTTCTAAGCCTGACCAGACTTTTTGCATCCTTCTCGCGGTACCACAGGGTCTATCGGACGTTGGAGTTAAATGTATTTTCGCCTGCGTACATGCTAGCTACTGGGTCAAATTTGAAATACTTAATAATTGTCTACAGTGTTTGTGCATGCGGCAGAAGGGTTTGTTGACATGCCATGCTTGCTAGTGGAGGGGCTGATTGCCAGCAAGAGCTGCAACAAAGAAGAAAGCAGTAACTCACCGCAGAACCTGCCCTCGTCTCATATCTGCACAATGCGTCAAAGGCCTGTGCCTAATTATGATGCGAAGAAGAAACAAAAGGCATTAGCTTTTATTATGGCATGCAACACCACACACACTCCTAGCACAGCCCAGCAAAACCCCAGTGGCGCATGCACGAAAACTGTAGACAGCTTTCTAACAGTTCCTTAACATGGTGAGTAATTGCCAAAAAGAATCCCTCGCCCCACTATCAAACCTGCATGTAAATAGAAATACGCTTATAGCACTAAATTTGGGCAGACTTTGGTACACTGGGAGATGCCGGCGAAGCAGTAAGATGTTCTCAGCAGTTAATGTTATTCTATATCGTAATCATGCGTATATATTACTGGAAAAATATGTCGGAGTCATTGCTGAAAGTTCCTGCTTTTCTTGCAGTTAGGGACGGAGGCCTGGAGTTCCATCGGCCGTGCACATTCTGTAGCATGCTGCTTTCGGTGTGATACTCGCTAACTTATTGTCCTTAATTTTCAACGGAAATACATCACATAAAATTGTATGATAAACTGTTTAATAAACAGATGGAATTGGAGCCCTAGGTTTAGTTGCAATTCTTGATCATTCCTTCCATCAGACAACTCGGCTCACTGCCAAATACCAAACGTCCATTTGATGAGTAGCATTAACCAGGCCCGAGAAAAATAAATGTGCGTGAAATGAAAGACACAAAATATATTTAAGAGAGCTGATTATTTACAAATTAGAGATAAATCCCCTCCGCCATTTTTCCCTGCTCTATTGTATGCACGCAGTCAGCCCCAGCTGTCTTTCTGTGCCTTGTTGACTGTCGGCGTCGCCTCCATCCTCTGTCTTCAACTTTATCCACCACAATTCCTTTTTTCTGATTTTGTTTTGAGCTTCTCCCGTTGCCTTTAGTTTCAAATGCCATTTTCTCCCCAGAAGCGCCGTTCACTCCCGCGCCCAACCTGCAAGCACGACACAGCAGCAAGGGTGTTTTCGTTCTGCAAAGCAGCATACAATGCATCATTTCAACTACCAGTGACTCATATGCGGCTGCAAAACTTCAATACCACCTCAGAATGAACTCAACTACAGCGGGGGATGCCCTGGGGGCCCCATCTGGGGCCCCCCCAGCTACACCTGCTGGGGGGTCGAGCACTCTTGGGCGACCCCGCAGCAGAGTTCAGCAAATGTTGAATGCATATTATGACTTAGAAGAAATATCTGAGCCCGATGCATCCTCTGAAGGGTCTCCTGGGAAGGCAGATAAGAGAGAAACCGACGTGCAAGGCCAACACCAGCGGGGTGAAACTCAAGATCCGGCTGTTGGCTGCAAGCCTAAAGAAGCAGAGTTGGAAGGAAAGCAGAAGGGGATCGCTTCAGGTGTATATGCACAGATAACTGCTGGTGGGGCATTTAAGAGTGCGTTGCAGTTTCTGAACGACATGTCTGCTGTCCCTCAGTCTGTTGCCGCTGTTGTGAGTGGGGGGCCCCCTGGCTCGTCTAGCTCCTCCTCTGGGGCTTCTGGCAGCTCCTCTACGCCTGCATCGTTGGATCTTAATTCTCCCTCCTTCGATATGCATGCATTTTTCTCTGCGGCTGTTGAGCGATGCACGTTGCAGCAGCTGCTGCGCCTTGTGAATGAGCTGGAGGCAGAGGTCCAGGTGCTTGAACAAGACATCCATACTTTGGTGTATGAAAACTATACCAAGTTTTTAAATGCCACAGATACAGTCCGGAACGCGCGAGATGTGATGTCCCAGGTGGAAGGTCAGCTGGAATCGTTAGCATCGCAAGTAGCCTTCATTGAAGGCAGCAGCAAAAAACTCATGGACTCCGTGCATGCACGAGCTGCAGGTATTGAAGAACTGGTTGCGTTTCGACAGCTGCTGGAGCAACTGCAGATCCTCTCTTCCCTCCCGCAGCTGCTGCGGGATCACCTCGAAGCAGGAAATCCGGAGACGGCCCTTCAGCTGTACGAACACTCTCGCCTCTTTCTTGCTGAGCAAAAAATCGCCTCGCCACATCTGCAGCGGCTGCTGCTTATAAAGAACGATGCAGACAACGTATGTAAGTACGCAGTGCAGCTGCTAAAGCAGCAGCTAGATGCCCCCGAAGAAACAATGAAACACCGCCTGGCGGGTATAGAGGAGAACAGAACCAGACGGTCGCAGGTGTACAAAAACTTCCCAACGCAGCAACCGCAGCAGCAGAACCAGCCGATGAGCGCTGCAGATGCGTCGAGAGTGCTGCGGCTGCTGCTAAAAAATGGACAAGATCCTCAGGAACTGCTGCGGCTATTTCAGCGTGGCCGGCGGCATGCAGCGTTTGTGGTCTTAGACCGCTGCTTCGCTAAAGACGAACCTGATGCTGCTGCTACTGTGCCTGCTGCTGCTGCGACTGGCGAGGCGGGGGAAGCAGCAGCTTCCATTAGCGTTGCTTCCTCTCGCCCTGAAGGGAAAAGAGGGAGAGCTGCTTCAGCAGATTTGGCGTTGGAGGCGGCCTGCCGTCGGGTGTCTATACAGTATGTGGAGGTTGTAGGAGAGGCAATGAAGGATCTACTGTTCATTTTGAAGTTCATTTCGGTCATTCAAGCTGACAAGGGCAGCAGCAACACGCCACCAAAGCATCAGGAAGAGGAGACGGAACCGGCTACTCTGCGTCGCGTGCGTTCAGCTGTAGACGCAGCTGAGAAGTGTGAGTTTGGGGGGTTAGAGGTGGAAGGGGCTCGAAGTGTCAGTTCATTTATGTGTTCTTTAATTGAAGCCGCCTTCGCTCCTCTATCAGCTCTGATGGCCTCCACAGTGCCAGCAGCAGCAGCAGCAGTCCGGGGTACGTCTTCACTAGCTACAGCATTTGCACGCTGCTTCGACACTGTCTTGCCGCAACAGCTGCGGCAGAAAGCAGTAGCAGCGGCTAAAGGGGCCCAGCGGAAGATCATTTTACAGGCCGCAGCACTCGCATTCAAACGCGCATACGCAAACGTCACGCAGGAACTCCTCGACGCCACTGCAGCTGTAATACAGAGGCAGCAACAACAGCAGCAACAGGAGGACGGCAGAAGTGGGTCCGCTGCTATATTGACTGCTGACGAGCTTTCAGCTGTCTTGGCACAGCAGCATTCAGCCGCACAGTCTATAGTTGTTGAGGGTTGTGTGGCCTTAACCGACGCGCAGCAGCTGCTGCAGGGAGCAGCAGAAGCAGCAGCAGCAACACCCGCAGAAGCTGACGCCCTCGTGAGGCGGCAAATCATCCCTTGGGTTGAGGGTTTATTTGAGTTGTTTGTCCGCCGCGTCGTGCAGTTGACACGAAGCACCCCCGCTGCCTTTAGCGGATTTGAGGAAGTCTTAAGAGATGCACTTGGTGTTGAGGCTGCTGCTCCAACAGAGCTACAGCAGCAACAGCAGCAGCACCTACACCAGGAGCAGCAGCAAGAAGAGCTCTGGCTAAAGATGCAGGTATGTCTGTGGGAATGAGCGGGTAGCAAGCACTTGCAGCTCCCTCATCTTCGTTTCTTGGCGTTCGTCGTTCAGTGTTGCTTGCGTTTGTTATGTATGTACAGGTGGAGGCGACGCTGAGGGCTGCGCTTGCATGCAGAGAAGGCAAACGCCCTGTAGCTGAAGAGGGACAGCTGTTTCCCGTCGTGCTACTTGTGTACGCACGCATTGGGCGGAGCCTCCTTCAGATCGGGCTCCCCAAGTTGGAGGCAATAGGCTCCGAGCTCTTCCCTTCCCTTGAAGCGGGATGGCTAGGCAGCAGCAGTAGTAGTAGCAGCTGTACTAGTAGTAACCGCAATGCTTGCAGTGGAGCGTCTTCTCTCCACACAGAACAGGCGGTTTCTTCCGCTGCTGCTGCTCCTCCTCCTCCTCGACGACTGCCTGCGGTTGTGCGTCTGCGGGCGGCTGTCCAGAGTTTAATGACGTCATTTGTCTTCTGCAGGGGCCAGGAAGCAGTGCAGGCCACCGTGACTTGTTTAGCTGCACAATACTTGCAACAGCTGAGCAGAAGCAACAAAAACAACGACTGCAACAGCAAACTCCCTGCAGGCACTAGTGGGTGCTTCTCCCCCCTCCTCAAGGCTCTCGACAGTTGCAATCAGGAGTTGTCGCTCCTTATGAACGAATCCTCCCAGTCGGCTGCAGCGTCAGCAACATCAGGCGCACCAGCAGCAGCAGTTGCTACTGCTGGGCCTCATTTGGGTTCTTCGGGAAGCCAGGCTGTGCAGCAGCAACACCTGCAGCAGCAGCACCAGCAGCACCGTCGTCTGGGTCGTCCTCTGGGGCGTCGCCGGAGCCCCATAGAGGTGGAGATGGAGCGCCTGTTTGCTCGGAAGCAGAGGGTTTTTGCTGCTGTACCCTTCAGCAGAGGAAAGGCATTAATGGCTCTCTTTCGCATCGTGGCAAGGGCGGTGTTGGAGTTTGTCAGGGGCTGCTGCTACTTCAACCCGCAGCAACTGCAACAATTGCAAGTCGACTCCGCAGCAGCTGCCGCTGCTGTTCGGGTCTATGTACAGACGGAAGACGCATCCGTCGTAGACGGTTTTTTCGACGAAATAGTTGCATGCGCAGCAACCCGCTGCATTCACAACGCGCAGCAGAGGGGAGGGCCCCAAGGGGCTGTCCTGGAGGGCACTGGTGAAGGGAACAGCATTCTTTTGACTGAATCAGAGATTGAGGCGGTATTAGCGGCGGAGAGAAAACAGAAACAGGAGGAGGCAGTGCCTTCCATGCCGCTTATTTCTGCCACCTCAAAGGCAACTGCCGTCTGAAGGCGGCAGGAAAGCAACGGCTACAGTTTGCCGGCTTTAGTATTCACCGTTAAGTGTAAACGTAACCTAAATTTGAGATATTTAGTTGACTTTTTGGTCTTTCGTTTTGTTTTATTTGGACCAAATGCTGCGGGGAAAGAAGGCTTCTGCTGCTGCTGTTGCTTGTTGCAGCAGCTTGACCTTCATTTTCCTCGTTTAATCCACGCAATAATTATGCGTCAGGAGCAGAAATCAGCACCCCTATGTCGAGCTGGACAGGTGGAAGATCAAAACGAGTTAAGGAGTGCTTGTTTACAAAAAAATGTATAAACCTCATGTTTTCGTCGTGTTCAGACGGAACAATGGATTTACGCGTTGACTGTACCACAATAAGCCTCAGTTCGAGTCTTTGCAGAGACAATGTGGACACGAAGGAAGAACCAGTCTACAAGGTCTAATTGCATTCAAAAGGTTCTGCTGTGCTGCTGTTTCGTTAATAAGGTCAGCACTTTTTGCCATTTTTGCATACAATTTTTACTTGGTTGTGAGTCAAGATGAGGCTTTTGGAGGACGGAAACGCACGGGGCACTTCAGGATGTTTGTTTCCCCAGGTTTGCGCATACACCCGTAAATATTACATAAACATATTTGTATTTAAATATAATAAGCATAAAGTGCAATAACGGCACACATGGTTTTCAAGATAAGGCGCCATCGCTGGGTCTTCTTCGCCAGAGTTGTGTTTCCTGAAGCGTGAGAGTCATTTTTTGTTTTGCCAGCAGTGCGGTATTCCTGTTGTTTTTCTTGTTGTTCACTATGTTTTCTGCATGCATTTGCTGACGAAATCGTTGAATTTGCTTTCCGAGTCGATTGCAGAAGGCAGGCATTCTGCTGCTTTTCTTCCCTGTGCCAACACCCATACGCGGTCACATCCCCTTAAGGAAGCAATATGATGCGCTACAATGAACACGCAGCATTCTTTAAAGTGCTCCTTCAAAATAGAAGCCATGGGCCTCCCTCCCCTCGAAATGCCACTCCCATGCTCTGTACGAACACCTCCCTCGCCTTCCTCCCCTGCGGATAGGGGCGATACTACTTCTTCCCACAGTTCCTCAGCAGGCGGCTCGTCTATCAACACTACGCGCAGCTGCTCCTCCTGTAATATCAGCCGAGCTAACGCAAGATACCGCATCTGTCTAGCGGAGAGGGTCTCAGCCTTAGTTCGGGCTCTAGCTCCTCTGCTGGTCCCTGATGGAGCAGTGTGGAGGTTATTAGCATTAGGAGAAAGAAAACCACCTGCGCTGCCGTTCCCACCGCATATGACAGTACTCAGTTCAAGGCCTCCAGGCAAAGAACGTACAACACCCTCCAAGCCAACGGCAGCCAAAGCCCTCCGCATCTCCTCGTCCGAGTGTCCCCGCTGCTCACAAGTATCGCAGAGATCTGCAACTATTCACATGAAAGAGTCTTTATGGTCTAGGGTCTAGAAGTAAAAAGGCATACTTCTGCAGTGCATGCATGCAGCGATGCTGCTGTCTGTACAGACGAAGAAGTAGCACAGGTAGAACGGCAATCCTCACCATTAGGGAACCAACCCGAGCTAACAACTAAGGTGTCTATATATAAATGGAGGGAAGCGAAGGCAAACACGCAGCCACCAATGTACTTCGGCATACACATCACTGTAAACATCCATCTACGTGTGCATATATATCTGGGGTGTAGGAACGTTGTGGAGTTTACTCTGGGGTCGAGGGTATCTCGTACAGTCCATCCTTTAAAGACGAGGGAGCGTTGGGGGAGCGTTCCGACGATTTGTTTTATGGTATTTCTTGGCAGTTGCTTGATGGAAACGCCATCAATTAAAATAACTCCTTTGTGACAGGGAACAAGGCCGTACAGCGCCTGCAGCAGAGTCGATTTACCTGTGGTGTGGTGTGCATATACGCAAAACAAGCAGAAATGTAAACGAGGAAGGGGTCATCCAGTGCAAAATCCATATAATCGTATATAACAAGCTGCCTATACACCGCAGCTGCTTATACAGCCTAAGGTAAGAAACGCACCCGCTCCTGTACGCCCGACAATTCCAATTCTTTCCCCAGGTTTTACGTGGGCAGATAAATCTATTATGCTGGGCTTGAGAAGGAAGCCAGGTCGATGCCCTCCTGCTGCTGCTGTTGTTGCTACTTGATTGGCCTCTAAGTCTCTGGTAGTTTGGAGTTCTGCTTGGACGGCTGCTGCCGCCTTGTGCTGTTCACGAGAAACAGCAAATAAATTTTCAGCGTCCTGCCGTTGATCGCTAGATGCACCTTCATCTTCTGCGGTGTACGTACGGTAGCGAACTTCTACATTCTTTAACTCAACACCTGAGCGCTGGGCTGGCAGCAGAAGAAACGGCGCCTCTTTCATCTCCCTCGTTTCTTTGTCGTCCTCGCCCGCTGCTTCAGATACTCTTTCTTCTTCTCCCGCTGGTACATCTTGAGCGTCTAGCAAGTAGCTCTGCACGCAACAGCAAGTAGTAATGACCAGAGACAGGAAATCTCTACCGTTCAAACGTGCATATATGTTCATGTACGAAATGGGGCTATCGATACACCTCAGATTATAGTACAAACTGTTCTGGGAGGCGAGGAAAACAAGGCCCAACAGATAGAAATAAATGAACAAGAAATTAATATTGTCTTTTTAGACATAATATGCATAAACAATAATCACCTGTACACGTTCTACAGAACACATATCTTTCTCCATTGAAGTAACATTGCTGAGAAAGCGCCGCAGGGCGCCAGCGATGGACAGAGAATAAGATATAGCCAGCCCCATAAGGCCGATGTTGTGGGCAGCAGCAGCAGCGGCAGCAGCAGCAGCGTCTGCTGCTCCAGGTGCTTCCTGGCTGCCGCCGACTCCCAAGCTAAATGCAGTGCTGCCGGCAAAGCTCGAAAGACGAGGCAAAAAGGAATTCAAAACAACGAGGGGAAAGAGCAGAAGCTGAAGGCGAATAGAGGCCCAAGAATTAACCCTAAACAACACATAAACGCATGCAAAGTGATCCCGGCCCCAATTGGATAAACTGCATGCAATTGGAAATATTTCGTTGAGTATGTTGTCTAGAGAATTTGTGTTGTTATAAGAACTGTGTTGTTGCTTCCATATATTATATGGTTATGAGGTTGCGTAGTGATGAACTGTTTCTATACTTTACCCCCATTGTGTTATTTTGGTTCTTTGGCAGAGTTCGAGGTGATGCAACATATCTTCTAAGAAGGCGTTTTGCTTCTTTAAGGCAGCAATAACAGTTCTTCCTGTCAATACTTCGCTAAAGCAGCTGCAGAGTGGAGAGAAGGAGACGAGAGCTGCCCTCTGCACTTCTCTCGAGGTACTTCGGAAATAGCGAAATATTAAAAGATAAATACCCAACATTACAATAGGCCAAACAGGAATAACCCAAGAACAAGCCAAGCTCAGGACGACCACCTGCACAACACGCGAATGTACGTGCACCTAAACTATTGCTTGAAACGGTGTGTTTCGGTTTCGCGAGGAAAGCGGCTGTAAATGTTGATTCTTGCTTGCACTTGACCTTTTATCTTTTTGCATTTTAAGGTTTATTTTGCTTACGGAGAGTGCGCAGGATACAGCAGCCGTGAACGAATAGCCGATTCTTCTTAGTATACCCAAATCAATGATGGAGATATCGGTAGAAAATCTGTTTAAAATGCGGCCTACAGGGTTATGATCATAAAACCACATCGGCGCAGTACAAACAGCATTCCATAGTTGTTTGTGAATGTTTGTTGCTGCTCGCATCGATCCCCCCGCTCCTATCATCTTTTCCGCTAACTCGAAAGTCATGTTGATCGTTACAATGCTGCATGCGTACATACACCCAAACAGCCACAGCACTTACAACAGTCCCTTTCACATGCCTATAGATGCACTGGCACGCAGATGGAGTACACTCGTGTTCACGTAGAAGCCGCTTATCAGGCTACATTCTTTCTACTTACGCAACAAAGACGAGAAGAAAGTGCTTGTGAACAGCAGCGGGGGAACTGCTGCTGCCTCCCTCTTCCCCCTCTGTACCATCGTCAATGGTTGTCCATTTCGCAATCCACAAGTCGCTGAGGACGTCTGAGACGCTGCCAAAAGTCAACACCAGCACAAAAACAATAGACAACAAACGCCCCGTCTGCTTGAGATACCTGCAGCAAAAACGCATGCAGCAGCAGCAGAAACAGGAAGACTGACAAAGACGATAGAGGTCTCTCACCGCATATATAGCTTAGTGCTTAGGGGGGCTTTGGGATCGAGATATGACAGCTGTTGCAGCAGTTGAAGGGTTTAAGGACGGAGATGCTGTTTGTTCTGCTGCAGCTCCTTCCATAAACCCTTCGTTTGCTGCAGCTGTGGCAGCAGGGAAAGAAGGGAGAAGCCGTTTGCTGCACCAAAAATAAGAAGAAACCGCGACAAGTCCGCTGGCTGTCTCTTCAGCCACTGGGAGAGTCCTAGGAATGCTTGGGGGCTCAAAAATAGAAATCTGCTGCCTTTTAATTTCTTCCGTGGTTTCTGCTGCTTGTGGCCGGGGTGTACGCACAATCCCTTCTTGCTGTTGCTCTCCGTCTTCTGCCTCTTTACGTTCCCCATCTCCTGCAGCTAATATGTTTTCAATCGTTTCGAGGGTTCCTCCTTCTTCCGCTTCTTCTTTTTCTTCCTTTGATTCTTTCTTTGTTGAAATTAAATTTAGAAAACTATCTGCGTCTCCCTGCCACGCTATTTGGCCGTCCACTAACCGACAGATCTGAAACTGCATGCGACGGACAGGAGGGGAGGAAGCAGCTCCCCCTTCTGTTAATTGCTGTTGCTGTTGCTGTTGCTGTTGCTGTTGCTGTTGCTGTTGTTGCTGCTGTTGTTGCTGCTGTTGTTGTTGCTGTTGCTGCTTCTGCTGCTGTGTTGCGTATTGCCTCATGAGTCCAATTAACGAGTTGTCATTGAGGCAAACTAAAACAGCTGAGTCAGCGAGGAGGCCGTCTTGTCCGAAGAGATTATTGAAGAGATGACCTGCAACTGTTAAATCCAAATGATTGAAACACTCGTCAAAACAGAGCAGACACCCGAAAGTTTCTTCCTTCCTTTCTGCTTTCCCTTGCAGGTCCCTTTCTGTTTCGTCTTCTGATTTCAACGCTTGCAGCACCTCCGCAGCAGCGGCACCGAGTTGCCTAGACACCTCAGAACTAATGGCATCGGCAAGTTTGCGTTTCTTTGTTTGCAGCCTGTCTACAGCTGCTGCTTTGAAGTGCTGCATGCGTCGTTGGTGCATTTTGCAGCTGTAGACGGCCCGAGCAATGTTAAGCCGCACGCGCTGCCCCCCACTGAGGTCGAGGCCTCCTTCGTCTACTATGCGAAGATCTCCTCTTCGCCAGCTGCAGAAGTCCTGCTGCAGCTCGCATGCGGCTACCACTGCGGTGTACGTCCACTCGTCATATGCCTCCCCGAAGATGATGTTCTCCCGAATCGTGCCACCAAACAACCAAGGTTCCTGAGGCACGTACCCCAAAGGTGGAGCAACAGCAGCAGTAGCAGCAGCAGGTTCAGTCTCCTGCTGTTGTGCTGTCACCCCGCTGCTGCTGTTGAGCATCCCCAAATCGCCGCTGATGTAGCATGCGCCTGCTGTCATAAACAGATTATCGCGACGCAGGGCTGCATGCACCAGAGTAGTTTTACCGCTCCCCGGTGGCCCTGTAAGCAGAACAACCTCTCCCCGTTTAACATCAAGGGTGATCTTATTCAAAGACAAACGAACTGTGCCCTCTTTAACCGGAGGAACAATAAGCACGGGAGACAATGACCGCTCCCCAGCCTGCCCTGCAAGAACGGCAGCAGATAGATGATCAGACGGCGTTCCTCCTGCCGCCGCAGCAGCGGCGGCGGCAGCAGCTGCTGCTGCTGCTGCAGGAGAGAGCCAGGAGAAGGAAGCAGACAGGAAGCGGATCATTACGTCCGAGTCGTTGACAGCTCTGTGCAGGTCAAAGATGGCAACGGAAGGCGAACATAACAGAACAAGAAAAGGAATAACACGCCGCATGCATACAAAGCAGGAAAAGAAGAAACCGCATTGACCTCTCTACTGGAATCATCAAACAAACAGCTACCGTGGAGCAACCGTACTGAAGCAGCTTCGTTGTCACTTCAACCAACTCCTGTTGCTGTTGCTGTTGCTGCTGCTGTTGCTGCGGCTGCTGGCTGTTGTCTGTGCGTTGAAGCAGGGGTTCTTCTTCTGGTTTGCGTTGCGTCTGTTCCCCAACTTCTTGGGAGGTTGAGGCGGTGGGTTGGAAAATGTAGCTGCGAATTCTGCTGAGGGAAATGCGGCCTTCAATAAGAGTGGATATTGTATACGGCAAATCTGCCATGGGCCCCACAAAGTTATCCATAACATGAATAATGGGGATAACCAATTCTGCCTTGAGCCCCAGTGTCTGCAGTCACCAACAGCACAACAATAATAATATATAGCGCATTCAGAAAACCCTCGCTCTAACGCATGCGCATGCACCATTAACTCCGCATCCACCGCAGGATAAATTTTACATATATTCATCGTACCCCCGTGCGGCCTTGGATCAAAGGAATGGCAAAAGCAGCAAATGTTCCAATGGATGTTGCAGCTCCTGAACACCAACAGCAACACCAAACGCAAAAGCAGCAGAAATAGCAGCATCAGCGGCAGCAGCAACAACAACACCAGCGGAGAGTCGGATTCATTTCTGCATTCCGTGGCAACAGCAGCAGCTACTGCTGGTCTTTCATTCCCAGTTTCAAGCCAGGACCAAGCAGCGTTCGGCCGCTTTTCTCTCTGTCATTCTACTTTTTGTGTTCTGCGTCATGTATTTTGTTATTGCTGCTGTGCTTAGAGTGTCTGGAGTGGCATGCCTGCAATAGCGGCAAGCCAATAGCTTATGCCCGATAGGTACATTCTTCGTGAGCCCCATTTGAGTTCTTGCCTTCTCTCTTTGGTAACAATATCCTCCGCTATGTCCTCCCACCCTAACAGCCGCACCGTCCGGAGCTCTGTGAGGCACTCGTGGCAGCGGCCGACGCGGAGGTCTCTGCACGCCTGCAGACAGAAAAGAAGGAAATGCAGGAGACAATTTGCTGCTAGGCAGCAGCAATCCCCTGTCGTCTCTGCTAACTAATCTTGCTGCTAGAGGGAGATGAAGAATGGTTGGGTCGGCTCTTCGATTGTTCATGTTGTGGGTTTAGCAGGCGATCATCGTTGCTGATGTGCTGCTTGCTGCTTCGAGATGTGCATGCTGTTTTCTGGTTATACTTTCTGATGTTGCCCCTGTTGCTGCTGCGGACTCGATGCTGAACAATCAGCAACAAGTCAAAGTGCCGCATGCAGCTGAGAGAAGAAGAGAAAAACGAGCTGTGTAAGAGTTGCGTGCCTCCCCCCCGCTAACTGCAGAGTGACGCACCATGAAAGGCACCTTCAAGAAGCTGTTGTATGCCTCCAAGGCAATGGCAAAGAGAACAATACACACCAGGGTAAGAACTGCGGGAATACAGTAGAGTCCAACCTGTTAAACAAGACAGACAACCCCCTCCAGAAAAAGTCAGCATGAACTCACCAGCTCTTCAGTTCAATAGAATTGCCTCTTGCATGTATAAAGACACACTGGCAACTGCAAAAAGCCGTATATACAACTAGATGTATCTATATGTATATCAATAATCTGTAGACTACGCCAGACGCTAGACTACGCCCTGTAAACGGATATATATCATTCCTGTGTACAACAGGAATTACATGAGGATACAACACCAAAACAACTTTTGCCTGTTTATTTAATAGCATTTTTAGTTCCTGTGTACAACATGAATTACATGAGGATACAACACCAAAACAACTTTTGCCTGTTTATTTAATAGCAGTTTTAGACAGAAGAAGAAGAAGAACAGGCAAAAAGCGTCTTCTGTCGGGTACCTGCATGGCCAAGAGAAGAGCAGCAAGGCCGACACGAATAGGAAGAACGACCAAATCAGCAGAAGTCATTACCATCTCCGCAATGGAGGGAACATCAACGAACACAATGTTGAAGATGGCGCCCTTCTTGCTCTCCGCCTCTGAATCGGGAGTTACTGAGTTGTTTTTCTCCTCTTCGCTGAAGGGCAGCGGCAGCGTCCGGCTATACCCCCTGGCGTCTGTATACCTCTTCATAAGGACAACTTCAGCCCCCGATGCTCTCTGTCCATGTAGCAAACGCTTGTAAATAGACGTCAACAAAGCTGACTCCACTCTTATGGACGTCCTACAAATGTAGAAGTCCAAATGGCTGTCCATACATACGAGGAGCAGCTGAACCGCTGACAGGGTCCCCGCCGCTAATAGCCCTGAAAAACCAAAAATGACAAAAACCTCCAGCATATCTAAATCGAATGAACTACGTAAGAACACCTGTAGGCTGATGTAGTTGCTGCTGCAACCACTTAGTCTGTGCGTTGGGGAAGTGAGGGGGAGGCTTGGAAGGGCGTCTGTCTGCAGCCAACACGAAAGAAGCTGAGCATTTTGTTGCATTGTTAGCTGTCGCGAAATATGAATATGGAGGTGAATAGGCTTTTTTACCTTGTTTCCAAGAGCTTTGTGCTGGCTCCTCCCCTTCTTTCAAGATCTCCTTAAGAAGGAGGGTATTGCCGAAGCTGAAGAACTCTTTTACTATGGTCCACAGCATCGCAACAACAATGGGACGCCAGAACTGGCGCAGGGTGGCTCTAAAGATGGATGGCCGTGAGTAATGCCTCTCTTCAGCCAAGAGGGAGCCATCGAGAGGTCCTCGGTGCATCTCCTTTATATCCGCCTTCTGTAAAGGAGGCAGCTCCTGAGGATCTACTGACTCGTACAGACACCGTACAGTAACAGCATTCAGCCAACGAAAAAGCAGACGGCTGCACCATCCTGCAGTGTCGAAAGGCGACGCGGGAGTTTTGTTTGCAGGGTGTAGAAGCGGGTTGCCTTCTTCTGTTCCTTTGCGCTTTTCTCTGCCGCCGCTACCGACTCGGCCGCCACTATTGGAGTGTCCAGGGGCTCCCTGGACTTGAAATTGTCCTTTCATCTCTTTTAATCCATTTAATGGCTGTATTCAACTAACAAAATTCGTTATGCTTCTCTGCGATTCTTGAATTAGCAAATGAAACCTCCGCCGCCACCAGCGAAATAGTCATCGACTGCCGAGAACGGCGGGCGCCGCCTCAATAAGAGCACGAGGAAAATAAAGCAATATTCTTCTGTTTATCCATATGAAACAGAAACACAGTACATTACTAATTAAACAAAAAGAAAAAGAGCTAATAACTGGCGAAGGCTTCAGACAAGCGTTGCGATGAGGCCGAAAAGAACCTGACCTTGACGAGTTGGCCAGACCATTGGTATAGAGCGCCGGCACTACAATGGTTCAAACTGCGAAGCCTCTAGCTACTGCTTCCACTGAACGGAATGAGATAATGTATTAGTGCAGGTAAACTGGAACATTTATGCATTTAATTAGGGCAAACCTAGGAGTGCCCATCGAAGCCGTGGGGCTTGCTGGGACGCTGAGTCACGACGGGCCAGGGCGAGACAGGTCTATTTTGGATCAGCTTCTTCATAAGGAGGGACCAGAGGCCTGTTTTGGGGTTTAGTAAGCTTTTTTGTGGTTATTAGAAATGTAAGAATCTTGAATTTCGTATTTAGCAGTTTAGGTGCACCATACAATCATGTCCGAGAACCTACTTGTAGCCAGCGGCCTACGAACCATATTTGGGGCATGTCCCCGGAATACCGTTTTTCTTTCACACTCCCAACTGTGTAGAAACTCTAACATGTAAGAAGCCTTGGGACCCCTCGCTTAAAGTGCTGGTTCGAAGACAGCTGTGCAAATGCGGAACAGCAGAGTTATGGATAAACCCAACCAGCAGAACCATGACTCTGTTATGGATAAACGAAACCCAGCCAGCAGAACCATGTCTCTGATACGGGACAAAACTCGAATAAGAATGATAGAAGCATCCAAGCCGCCACTATAGACACTTAAGAGACTGTAGAACGCAAACGGCGTGCTGCAGCAACGAAAGCTGACACACCCCAAAGGCATGCCGCACAGAAAATTGGCAGGTTTGTATCCTCTATAGATGGGTAGCGGTACTCAGATATATCTGGAATATCCTTTTCCTTATGTACGTTGAATTAAAGTGTGTAAACTTGTAAACAGGTTTTACAAACTCTGGTTTTTGTGCATGCAATTCAGGAGCACCGTCTTTCTGGATCTGTGAATCTACGTAGTCGCTGCCGAGTTCGAGCTGTATAGCACATTCGGAGGCTGCTCAAGAGAAACGAAGGCAGGCATCTTTTCCATTCTACGTAGAGTTTTAGGGCACATCCCCTTCGCCAACAGAGCCAAGCCTTCTTCTGTATTTCTTGAGTTTGCGCCTTGAAGTGAAATCATTTCTTTTTTCTTAAGATGACCTGTAGATTCTGCTGATGTTAGTAGAGGCCGTTCTGCTGGTCCCAAAGACTTAGCTGTTTTGTCTCTCTTTAAATCTAAGGATGCCAAACAGGTGCAGTATGCACCTCGTGTTGGGAAATTGGAGACAGCAAGCACATACTTTACACCAAATGACTTTCCCCTTAATGTATATACGATAGATAACACCAAAAGTGCGAAACAACAAGACATAAAAAACGACAAAGCAAGAACAAATATCGTAAATGGCGTCTTCACGAGCATACTTAGAGTTTCTCTTCGCCTGTTCCCTGTTGTAAAACGACAGTATAGCTTGTGAGCTACTAGCTCACGAGCTAGCCAGTCGAGTAAATAATTAGCTAGCTGGCTAGTCAGCTATCTGGAGTGCATGGGGGTGTAACCAAGATTGCTCGTTTTCTAATATTATATTGCTGTCCTTTTGTAGCTGTTTGACCAGTAACCTGCCTTCGTACATCTTGCTGTCCGGGCAGATCGCCACTGTTTTCGCATGTTCTAAGGGAAGGGAGAAAACGGAAGCAACAATAGAAAACGTGGGAACAATAGGGAGTACATTCCATGTAATCTTTGAATACTGAAAGCCAAAGCTCAGTTTACGATGAATATTTGAATAACCCCTTAACTCTTAAGACAGTGTCGTATAGCATTAGCATTAAGCGTCCGAAGGGATTATACCCTATAATAGAGAGAATGAAGGGACTTGAGATGCCATAAAGGCATCCTTCACTTTCTGTCAACTAGCAATAATGTGTTTTCCTTGACGACTAAGCGCTGAAATCCACGCGTTGCCAACAGCAGCCAGAGCAGAGGGAAGCCGTACGCATTGGAGGATAGTCGAAGAAATAAATAAACAAATCTAGGGGCTTCACGCTTGCTTGAATAACGCTAAGAAAGGATATTATACAATTATGTTAGGCACAATACACGCATTCACGCTCTACACCAGAATATGTGGACTCTCTGCTATACTTTACGATTATGGAAACCAGCCGACAAGGGGGAGCAGAGGAGAGGTTCCTATACTAGCGATGTGTGATTAAATGAGTTATTAAATTCGTAACAGGAGAGTTATAAATAAAAGTACTTCCTCTGTTGTACACTGAATTATGTCGACTGTCCTTCATCTCCTTCCAGCCCCTGCTGGCTTCTCAACGCAGCCGACGTGCATGCCATTGTTTGTTGTGCCTGTAAACTCCCGTTGTGCATTCTTCATTGCATTTCTTCATTTATGTTTCAATTGAATTGTAATTATTCGAAACACTTTTCCGATTTATCGGGGGTTTACCGATCTGTTCACCGGCCAGCGTCAAGGTGAGCGCGGTGTAACGAAAGCGCCAGCAGCAGCTTTCCTTCACCATTTTCAGTCCTTGTGTTCACTTCCCTAATCCCTCAGTTGGATGGATTAATTCTTCTTTTCGTTTCAACTCGTGGGATGCTTGGAACTGAGTGGAATATCCATTTCCGCCATTCTACGCTGGCGTCTGACGGTGCAGGGAGCCCAGTGCATTTTTTCATCTTTCTCTCAGACGATCCCCATGTGTAAACATTTAGCTTTTATTGCTGCAGCAGTCGGCTGCGAGAGAAGCACTAAGTTGATCTAGTATAGGCCGCCTCCTCGCGGTTGCATGGTTTTGTCTGAATGAGGCCTGTTTCGCACTTCCGACTCAGCGATCTGTTTCCCCTATTTCAGCTGATAATCCGATTCTTTGTCGCTTTCAGTGCATGCCTCTGCGGTGTATAGAGACCCTCCAGTAGTAGGCAATCGAGCGCCCGTTTCCTCCCTCTCCTCATTTCAGTCATTCCTGTGAATCCTTGACTGTGGTGTCAGGCGGCTGAGTGCCGATCTGGAGGAGGCCTCGTTTTTTCGTTTCAACACAAGATTACTGTAATTAAACTATAGGAGGGTGTATTAGCAGCAACAGCAACGACAGCAACTCCCTTCCCCCTTCATTCTCCCCCTCTCCTCCCCCCCAACCATGACAAACCAGCCGAGTGCTGGGGCCTCGGCCAACGCTCAATCGGACGAGAAGGCGAGGGCCCTGCGGGCATATGTAGCCAAAGTCAAGGAACACAGAGAATGGGCTGCTAGAGTCAAGAAACGTGAGTTTAGCACAAGCTGCTTTTGCTGCTGTTTCTCCAGCAGCAGCTGCTGCTGTTGCTGCAGCCCTAACAGTGGCAGCAACCCCATCACCGGCAATACCAGCACCCCTAGCAGCGCAGTAGCAACAACAGCAGCAGCAGCAGCGGTAGTGGAGCCCCTAGGAGATTCAGCTGTTCCTGTATGTGCCCCTTCGTGCTGGTGTTGAATATGTGCATGCAGTGAGGGAGGAGACGAAACTTCAATCAAAAAAGTATGAAAAGACAGAAGATGATCTCAAGGCACTGCAGGGTGTTGGACAACTCATTGGGGAGGTGCTGAGACAGCTAGACTCCGAAAAATGTGCGTTCCTGCTGCTGCTGCTGCTGCTGCTGCTGCTGCTGCTGCTGGTTCAACACGTGAATGCCTGAAGTCTCGCTGTTGCTGATGTTGATGCTGCTGCTGTTGCTCTTTGTGGCGCATGAGAGCCGTTTCGCATGAAGACTCACTGTTGCTGCTGCTGCTGCTGCTGCTGCTTCTGTTGTTCGCTTGTTTGCTGCATGCATATGCAGTTATCGTGAAGACATCAAGCGGACCCCGCTACGTTGTCGGCAGCAAACCCAAGCTCGACAAGTCGCTGCTTACTGCAGGGACTCGCGTTGCCTTGGTGAGTTCCCCTGCTGCTGCATGCAACTCAAGCCCCACGCCTTCAGCTGCATGCAACTCAAGGCATGGGGTTTCGTTCTTTGGTGATATTGGTGGTAGAGCGGATGCTGCTGTCTAGCGTTTAGGGTTTAGGGTTTAGGGTTTAGGGTTTCGCTTCCCTTTATGCCTCTGAGGTTGTACATGAGGGTTTCCTCTTGATGTCTATTCTCTGTATAATTGCGCACTTAGTCAGCAGCATACTGAATATCCTCTACTATACTCTGTGTATATATACACTTACATGTATGTATATGCATGTATATATGTATATAATTGTATACATTCATACCTTGGCTCGCGCTAGCAGATATATTTAAGCATTAACTAAATATAATTTATTATAATTAAATATAATTAAATATAATTAAATATATTTTTGCCTTTTTTTGTTGTATAGGACATGACAACATTAACAGTAATGCGTCGGCTACAGCGGGAAGTAGATCCATTAGTATTTAATATGTTACATGAAGATCCAGGGAATGTACATTATTCAGAAGTTGGTGGATTAACAGAACAAATTAGACAAATGAGGGAAGTAGTTGAATTACCATTAACTAATCCTGAATTATTCAAAAGAGTTGGCATAAAAACACCTAAAGGTGTACTTCTTTATGGACCACCAGGAACAGGAAAAACATTACTTGCTAGGTATGAATATATTAATATATATATATATATATATATA